TTATTAAGATATCGAGATAGATTAGAGCTTAGAAATACACAAGAGGCTTTACAAAATGCACAGGCATGGAATTTTGGCGAAAATGAATCTGATTCTGATGAAAATTCTCTAGACTTGTATAATTCTGATAATATGAGTGCAATAGCTGAATTGGTCGATGCTATAGATGACTATCTAAATAATACAGCATCAAGTAGAACGATTTTGTCAAACCAAATAAAAAGAGCAACAAGATCAATTCGCCGAAAGTTTGCCAATCTGCAACAGGATCTTGTAAATGAGCAATGGAACTCTTTTTATTATATGCAAGAGCGTGATCAATATATGCAAGAGCGAGACCAAGCATGGCAACAATTGCAACAATGCCAGGCCAACTTAGGTCTTTGTGAATATAATTGAGACCGGATTTATGATAGATATTACAATAAATGAAAAAACCGAAAAGCAAGCCATATTAAATGGAAAAATAGAGAGCATAATTCACAGCAAATAATTTTGAATTTACAGCAACAAAATTTATTGCTACAGAATAATCTACTAAATATGGCGGAAGCAAGATGTTTACCTACATTGAAATATGTATCTAATCTTTTAAATCTGATTCCTCAATATTTTGGTCAAATGCCCCCTAATGATTACTGTGATATGATTATACAAGCATGGGCTTCTGCTATACCAAATATGACAGCTTTTGAAGGTGCAAATGCTGGAGATTTTAATGATGCTGTCAAAGTTGAAATTATGAAGGGTAAGATGGCAAGAAAATATGCTTCAATACCAGCTTAAAATAACTTTGTAAATCCTCTAGTTAATATTGATAGTCCAGATATAATATGAGCATGATTAAATAAAAAATATCAACGAGAAACAATTGGAACTAAGAATTCAGCTATTCAGAGATTGAGTCAAGAAAGATTTCAATCTTATGATACACCAGATACATATGAAGCCAGAATCTGTCCACTTATATTAGGTGTAGCAAATAATGATGCCTATGTTTTAGGAACTCTTAAGACTCATTTATCAGAAGATCATAAGCTTTATAGTTGGATGAAAAATGAAAATATAGGTGGTATTGATGAATTTTTCACTATATTGAAAAATATGTGGCTCGAACGTTCTAGTTTAAATGAAGGGCAAAATTTCGATCAAGCACAACCAAAGAAAAAATTATTAGCAAAGCAAAATGATAGTATTATATCACAACCTGTATTCTCTTCATATAATGAAATTCAAAAATCCTTCCAAGCTATGATGGAAAAACAGAAGATTGAATCCAAAGCTGAGATTGAAAAACAGAAAGCCGAGATTGAAAAATTGAAAGCTGAATTTGAAACAAAAATGACTCAACAATCCAAAAAATCTCGCCCTCCAGTTCTACCCAAAGATTATGAACAAATGCAAGAATTCTATGAAGGTCAAGGTGATCCTAGATGGAAAGATATTAGTAGAGAAGAAGCACTACAGTGGTTAGATAAAGCTTTCTCTTCTCCCATATCAACTAAACCAGAACGATTGCGTTCGTCAAATCAAAATGCTAGAATAGATAGAATAGAATCGAAAGTAGATGAAATCGGTCAAATGACATCTCAATTCGGGAAGATGATGCTTGATAACAAAAAACCCGTAGCTAAATCAAATTCAACATATCGATACTTTCCTTCTCTAATACCTTCCCAATTCCAATATGCATCTCCTTATTCAGATGATAATGAGGATGAAGAAGGTGGATATAATGAGGAAGAGAATAAATGGCATGCTCCATCTCAGTTAGAAAAAAAAAACAGGTACCGGTAAATGAAAAAATGCTTCCAGAACTTAGTCAGCCTGAAACATACGATGAACTATTACCAAAGCTTTCACCAGCAATGCGTAAAATGTGTCAGTTTCATATAGTCCAGGAAAAAGAATCAAAATCAGATGAATGGTTTTCGTCATTGCAATACTTGCATTGTAATATAAATAATCTATTGATCACTAATTCCTTTTTAAATAGCGCAAGTGAATTCGGAGGAGTAAATGATGCAACAATTAATGCTCTGGGGTGGAAAGCTGATAAGCCTTCTGACTTTGCTATAAAGGGTAATTGCAAACATATATTCGAATCATTAGGATGATATACAGATGTGCCAATTAGTGTAAAGGACAAAGATGGTAAAACAGTCACAGTTTCAGGAAATTTTGCACGTATTGATAATGGTGAACCAGAACCAATGCTATGTATAGGTATGACATGGATTCGAAAGGTTCATGGTATTCTTGACCCGAATAAAAACCAATTTCGCATAAAGGTTCATGGTAAGTCTTATATTATACCAACATTCAGCAGGGCTCTAGTAGCCAAGGATCCATCAAAAGATATAGAGACCTTAGAAGTATTGGATTCTGATTCATCAAGTGAAGAGGTAAAAAAAAATGCATAAATTGTAAAAGTATGACTATCCATGTAAAGAAGCTTGAAAAAGCACTATTTACTAGTGTCCAAACTAATTCAGAATTTATTGGATATTATAATAATTTGCATGATCAATATAAAACAAAAATTAGTCATATTAATTCTAAGCTTTTGAAATAAGAGCAGATAGTTTAGAAATATCAGCACGTACAACAGCTCTTATCTTTTTAGCCTCCTCTTGTGTTCTCTTATAGAATTCTAAAGGATCTTCAGTTTTTTGTGAGGCTTCAGGTGGTATAGTTTCTTTTTTTGCTTCTGATATTTTGTCTATCTTTTCAGTCAAATCTTTACTAACAGAGTATTGATCAGAAATACGCGCAGACTTGAACTTGGATTTTCTCTTTTTTGTCTCTTCCACAACTATAAGTATTGAAATATCACTTTCCGAATCAGCTAAATATGAATTCCAAACATTTGTGCAAACCTTTTTTCCTTTTCATATCCGATAAAAACGGGTATTGGACATAGGATATTTATCTCTAAGCATTTCTAAAGGTTTGGATTTTGCATCTTTGTATTGCATAATATATTTATAATCATCTGGTGATAGTTTGACTGCATCAGATCACATGGTCTTGTTAATAGTATTAGTAATATTGATAAAAAAAAATACTAATGATATTATTGATAATATCGGTAATATTGATAATATTCATAATGCTATTATTGATAATACCAGTAATATTGATAATATTGATAATATCTGTAATATCTATAATATGTTATTATTGATAATATCCATAATATGTTATTTTTATTAAATATAGCTAAGCTGAAAAATATATGGCTAATATATGTATATTGCGAGATATTAACTCAAAAGGACATCGTCTTGGAAGTGCTAGGGAGGTGGAACTTGAAGAAGCTTTACATGATA